CATACATACATACATACATACATACATACATACATACATACATACATCACAACAATATAAAATAAGCTAGTGTAGCCATCTGAGACTCCCTGGGGTTGCCATGTGTCGTTAGATGACTCTGTCTCAGTAACCCACTGCATCACAGCGTGTGTGCATAGTCGGGGAACTGGCAGAAGAACAGGAAGGAATTGCAGAAGCAGTGGGTCCTGACAGGCATGGTGAGGCTCTTTGGGTGGTTGTGACTGTATATCAGTCACACTTAGGAAAGAAAGGCTTGGTGCATCCCAGGCTGGCCTTGAACTCCAGATCCTTCTGCCTCTGCCTCCTTCAGCAAATCCTACCTGCCTGAGCCAAAAGACTGAAGGAGCTGAAGGGGTTTGCGACCCCATGGGGAGAGCAACAATACCAACCAACCAGAACTCCCAGGGTCTAAACCACCAGCCTGGGAACAGATAGGGAGGGGTCCATGGCTCCAGCTTTATATGTATGGGAGGATGGCCCTGTCAGACATAGGTGGGAGAGGAGTCCTTGGTCCCATGAAGGCTGGATGCTCCAGTGTGGGGGAGTTCGAGGGCGGGGAGGTAGGAGTGGGTGGGTAGGTGGGGGCACATCCTCATAGAAGCAGGAGGAGGGGGGATGGGATAGGGGGCTTCTGGGTGGGGAGGGATGGGGAAAGGGGATAACATCTGAAATGCAAATAAAACATCCAATAAAAAATAATTTCAAAAAAAAAAGAAAAGGCTTGGTGCTGGCTTTTCACCACCCCTGGTCCCCTGGTTCTTGTCTGGCCTGTGGAGACAGGATGGTGTGCTGGGTGCTGATGAGTGGAGGGCACGGTGTCAGTTCTCCACTCTGCTGGTCATTGTGCTTTTGGGTGAAGGGCGATCACTCTTAGAGCCATCAGAATTGGCAGTCTCTGAGACCCTCCAGTTTAGTTAGCATCTACATCTGTTCATTCAGCCATTCATCCCAGGGGCTCAGCCACCATGCATTTGGACCCAGAGTAACCTTGACTTTTTTGCAGATGCTAAACCTTGTATGGGGGGGGAGTTTAAAATTATATTTATTTATTGTTTGTTTGTAGTAGAATAATTCTAATCCAGCAACATGGCTACTCTGCCAAGGGATCACAGCCAAAGACCTAGGTCTGTGTAATATAGCTGGAATACAGACATGCCCTTAGTACACACCTTTAATCCCAAACAATGACGTCTAATATAGGGGCAGGCAAAGTGACAAATCAGAGAATGATTTGACAGAATGAATCAGAGATACGATACACCCAAGTCTCATGAGAACAGACAGGAAAGAGGTTGCTTAAGTGCAGGGAGAGTCAGTTCAGTTCATGGAGTTCAGAGACAGTTTTTTTAAGCAGAACAATTCAGTGAGAAGCTGAGAGAAGCCAGTTTGAATCGGCCAACTTGGAGAGGAGTTTGGACCTGAACAGCTGAGTTGGACCAGCCAGCCAGAGTTCAGAAAGAGCTAGAAAGAATGAGCTTATTCAGCAGTGAGCCTCTGACACAACAGTTACATCTGTGAAAAAATTACTTTTGTAGTTTGTTTGTTTTTTGAGACAGCCTCTCAATGTAGCTAGGACAGGCCCAGAACTTGCTATATAGACCAGGCTGGCCTCAAATCACAGAGATCTGCCTGCCTCTGCTTCCTGAGTGCTGAGATGAAAAGTGTGTGCTGTAACACCCAGCAAGCATTGTGTGGTTTTGAGGCAGTATGAAATTTAACAATGCATGGGCTAGCATATTAAATACTCCACAAATATACAATGCTATTTATTTTAAACATTTAGATTCCTGTTTTCTCTATTATCATGACTAAGTGTATGAATTTTTGTCAGTGTGTATATGTATACCGTTTGCATGCTGTGCTTACAGAAGCCAGAAGAGTCTGTCAGACTTCCCATAACTGGAGTTCTTGACAATTGTGAACCAGCATGTGTGTGCTTGGGACCAGGAAGCAAACCTGGATCCTCTGTAAGAGAAGCAAGTGTTCTTAAGTGCTGAGCAACCTTTACAACATATATATGTTTAAAGATTGATCTTATTTTTATCTGCATATGTATCTGTGTGTATATTCCTATGGAGGCTAGGGGAAAGCATTGGATCTCCTGAAGCTAAGTCACAGATAATCATGAGCTACCCAGCATGGGTCCTTGGCCTCTGAAAGACCTGCACACACTCTTAACCTGAAGCCATCTCCCTAGCCCCATAATAGTGGGTTTATAAAATTGTATTTCTCAAGGAATTTTTAATAAGGAAAGATGTTTTTGCTAGTAAAGTGGGTTGTGGGATTTTTTTTTGTTTGTTTTGAAAAGGAGTCAAAATAAGCATGTCTGTAATTCCAGCACTTGGGGAGCTTGAAACAAAAGAATCAGGAGCTCACAACTAGCCTTGACTGCAAAGCAAGTTCAAAACCAGCCAGGGGAAACATCTATCTCAAACAAACAAAAATCAAAACCAGACAAAAAGCAAAAAACAAACAGATCACCCCAAAGTCAGGATGAGTGATGATGTCACTGTAGAAGAAGGGACATTTTTCTTTGCTTTCCTTGGTTTTGCCAATTTTATTGAAGAGAAAAATCTGGTGAAAATGTCTGCTCAAAACATTTTTGGCCTGATTTTTTTTTTTAATGTAGCTTTCCTTGTATGGGTTTTCTGAACACACTGGAGAGTTTATTTCACATTAGGGTCTAGAGAGATTTCTCAGCAGTTAGAGTACGTGCTGCTTTTGCAGGGGACCCAGGTCCAATTCTCAGCATAGATGTGGTTGCTCACAGCCATCCTTGATACAGTTCCACAGGGATCGAATGCCTTCTTCCGACTTTTGATGGCACCAGGTTCAAATGTGGTGCATATACATCCACACAGCCGAAACACTCATAATATATAATAGAACATGAATAAATCTAGAAAGTATGTTTTACATTAAGCAGTAACTCATTTGTTTTTTGTTTTTTGTTTTTTGTTTTTGTTTGTTTGAGACAGGGTTTCTCTGTATAGCCTTGGCTGTCCTGGAACTCACTCTGTAGACCAGGCTGGCCTCAAACTCAGAAATCCGCCTGCCTCTGCCTTCTAAGTGCTGGGATTAAAGGCGTGCGCTACCCATGCCCGGCAGTAACTCATTTGTTAAAGAGCTTGCTTTGTGCATCCAAGGACCTTAGTTTGATCCCAGGCACCATGTATAAAAGCCCAGCCTGGTTGTGGTCCCTTGAGATGGCAGCCTTGAGGAGGTGGAGACCAGCAGGTTCCTGGAGTGTGCTAGTTAGCCAGCCTTGCTTACTTGGAGGGCCAGGTAAGCAGAGTACGTGAGTTCCAGGTTCAATGAAAGACTGTCTTTAAACACTGTGTGGCTAACCAGAGGGGAAGACACCTGACATCACCCTCAGGCTTCCGTGTGTGTGCACACAGATACATGTATCCCATGCACAAACACCTGCAACACTCATACACACATGTGCATGCACACATGCATACATGCACATGCACACACATGCATATGTGCATATTACATGGATGTGTAGGCACATACATACGCACCTGTACACACATGTGCACACATATAGACAAAAAGACATAACAGATATTGGTGTCTTTTGAGCACTGGCCTGCTCACATGAATTCATGCAACGTTTGAATTCTGAAGGAACAGCATTTGACCTGCAGGCCTTGTAGCTGCCCTAAGGGCTGAGTGGTCCTTATAAACCACTTTTCTCACATGTCTTTTTTATTTTAAAGACGGGGTATCACCATGCAGCCCTGGCCGGAACTTGCTCTGTAGACCAAGCTGGCCTGGAACTCATAGAGATCTGCCAGCCTCTGTCCCCTGAATGTGCAGATTAAAGATGTATACTACCATGCCTGGCTGTTGACATGATTGGCTTTTTAATTGTTCATGCTTGGCTTTTAGAATATATAGAAGGTAAAGCAGAGTTATCTGTTTGCTTTTCAGACTTCTGGTGTTCCATTGTTTCATGCCAAAGGCCTAGACTTTGAACCCACATAGGCATGTCTGACCCACAGGCCTCATGAAGCCTAATACTAAAGTGATACATACTTAAAACATTACCAAGTTTTTTGTGATTTGTTTTTTGCAGTTCAATGGCTCTCAACTGTGAACTTTGTAGATGACAATGTCATGCCTCAAAATGTCAAAGGGTTGAACACTTATCAGTTGAAAATATTTTCTATATCTCTCTCCCTTCCTCTTTTTTTCTTCCTCTCTGTTCCTCTCTCCTCTGTTCCTTCCTCTCCCCTTCCCCTCCTGTTGTCCCTCCTTCCTCCTACCAGGACCTTCATATGCCACTAAGCTCTACTCTGGTCTCCTAGACTTTGAATAATTTGCTAAAATGCATCATCTTTTACAGTTGAACAGATTTTAAATTGGTATGTTCATAAAGAAAGAGTTTCTGTTTTTCCAGTTTCTTCATCTAACAATTGTAGCAGACATTTTTAGATACATTTGTGTGAAGAACTTGTTTTATTTTTCTTTCAGATACACTGAAGATTCTTCATCAAGCCCACAAAGCAAAGGTGTGTCAGATAGGTGGGGTATCTGCTGGGTGGGGTATCTGCTGGGTGGGGTATCTGCTGGGTGGGGTATCTGCTGGGTGGAGTACCTGATGGATGGGGTATCTGCTGGGTGGGGTATCTTCTGGGTGGGGTACCTGATGAGTGGAGTACCTGATGGATGGGGTATCTGCTGGGTGGGGTATCTTCTGGGTGGGGTACCTGATGAGTGGAGTACCTGATGGATGGGGTATCTGCTGGGTGGGGTATCTGGTAGGCAGGGTTTCTGCTATACTACCTCCACAAATGCCACTGGAATTGGGAGTAAGCAAATGGACTTGTGTACCTAAAATATCTCCTATTCTAGAAAAGATTTTTTGGAGTATTGCTTGCTTGCTTGCTTGCTTGCTTTTCTTCCCTTCCCCCCACCACCTTCCTTTCCCATTAAAGGGAAAAAGAGGCTTGGGAGTAGGTTTAGTCAATAGTGCTTACCTTACAGGCGTGGGACCTGAGTTCTGATCCCCGGCACCCAGGTAAAAGCAGTGGTGCACACCTGTAATCTCAGCACTGGGAAGGTGGAGATGAGATGGCGGGGCTGGATCTCCGGTTTGACTTTATGGATGCCAAGCATGTGTTGCTCACGGTGCATGAGTAAGGATGTGGTGGAAGGAGTCTTTTGTGAGGTCCATGAGGACGTGGCAGCCCCAGAGAAGGATTTCACATTCTTCTTAAGCTGTTGAGAAGGAAGAGCCAGGACACCGCTTCTCCCTTGGTTCATACTGTTGCAGGCCTTGCTGGCTTCGGCATTTTCTGATTGGATTGTCTTAAACAGAAACCATGTCTGTCTTTTCTATGTGCACCTGAGGTTTCCCATGATGTCTAAAAGTAAAGGATTTAAAAAAGAAATTAACAACAACAAAAATAGCAGAAATTGAAGAAAGTAACTGATATGGACAGACATCTGGCATTTACATGAACACATATAGATAAGTATGTGTGCACATACTCCACATACATACAAAAGCCAAGTTGGGCAGCGAGATCACTCAGTGGGGAAAGGCACCTGTTGACATGCCTGACAGGCTGAATTAAATTCCTGGGACCTGCATGGTGGAAGTTGTCCTCTGACCTCTGTTGTGGGATGCATAAATCCAGTCATCATACACCCATGTACACAGTAAATAAAATGTAATTTAAAGGTTTAAATGGTCATGTATACTTGTTAGTAATAAGTCTTTTTAAAAGGAAATAGCTGGGCATGGTGGCACATACCTTTAATCTCTGCACTCAGTGGTCAGGGAGGAGGATCTCAGTTCAAGGCCAGCCTGATCTACATAGTGAGTTCCAGGACAGTTAAGACTACATAGAGAGACCCAGCCTTCATAAAAGGGGGGGGGGTGTTAGTTAACATATGCATAAAAAATACCTACCAGCTATTTAGACAAAACAGGCATAGAATGTAGTATAAACTCAAGTTTTATTTAAAAACAAATCCAATTGTCACCTGGCAGCATAATCTCTTTCACATTCCTAATTCTGCTCCAGAAACATAGGCCCAGAAGTAAACACTGGTACTCTGTATGCACCCACAAGAGGTCTGGTGGGTGCTTCTGCAGAGGCACAGACTACCCTTCCAAAGTGTCCCTTACCTGAAGGCAGCGATGTGTCTATGTGTTTTGTGTATATGGTCCTGTGTATATGGTCCTGAGATACTCATGTAAGGTTCTGATCGACGGTGTGCTTCTCAAGCAGCATGGGGACGCCTTTTCCCTCAAGCCTCATTGGCCTTGCGTAGATTCCTCACTGAAGCCATCAGCTCCATCTTCTCTGAACTGCTCAAGGATGAGGGATGTATCTATGTGGGTATGTGTATGTCTGTGTGTACATGTGTGTCTATACATGTGTGTATGGAGACAGGTATCCACATGCGTGTGAAGACCAGAGGTCAACATTGAATGTCTTCCTCTGTTACCCTCCAGTTTCTATTTGGTCGTCGTTGTTGTTGTTATTTTGAGACAGTCTCACTGTGGAGGTCTAGCTGACTTGGAACTTGCTATGTAGACCCAGCTGGCCTCAAACTTGCAGAGATTATGCCTCCCTCTGCCTTGAGATTGCTGGGATTAAAGGTATGTGCCACCAAGCCTGGCTTCCACCGTAGCTCTTGGGCTCGTGATTTAGCTACACCGGCTGGCTTCTCCCCAGGATCCGCCTTTCTCCACCTTGCCAGCACTGGGATTGCAGGCATGCGTCGCCATGTTCAGCTTTTGACCACTGGTCCTTGAATTTGTTGGGCGAGCACTTCATCAGCTGGACTGTGATGCGCCCCAGCCCTGAGGCACCATGCCTTATATTCACGCACCTTCATACCTCTAGCACCTAGTGTAATGCCTGGGTCACAAGGATTTTTAGAGTGTTTAAAACCTTCATGGCATGTTCATTTACTCACTGCATGTGCATCTGGGTGTGTGCATGCCGTGGTGCGTGCGTGGAGCTCAGAGGGCAACTTTCAGAACTCTGCTCTCTCCCTCTACCATCTCTCCCAGGATCACCCTTGGGTCCTCAGGCTTCAGGTGCTGCCCTCTGAGCCATCTCACTCACCCTCCCTAACAAGAGTAGTCATGAATTAATCACATTTTATTCTTATTTCAAGTCACTGGTGCAGTTGTAAACTCAAGCTTTCAGGTAAACGTGTGTCACACATGACAGAAGCAAGCGCCCGTGAATGTCAGTTGGTTTCGGGTTAGGGACTTGGTGACGTTTATTGCATATGAAAATTTGACAATGTCTCAATATATTGTGCTTACACATGTCGGGGGCTGCAGTGTGGCACCTGCTTTCTTACCAGAACGTTTTACCACAGTCACCTCAGGCTTCGTGTGAGGAGTTTTTTTTATTGTGATTTCCAAACAATAGGGAAGGCAAGGTATGGTTTTGTTTTGATTTTTTTAGTGTCTTTTCTCTCTACTGTGAGAGAATGCCTGACAAAAGTGACTTAATGGGGTTTCATTTTGTTTGTATTATTTTATATAACTAAAGCCCAGTTCTAGTCCATCATGGAGGGGAAAACACAACGTTTATAATCAAGAAGCAGAGCTATGCATGCTGGAACTCAGCACCCCTCACCAGTGTGTCTGTGAGATACTTCCCTGAGACAGGATCTTTCAAGAAGAAATCAGAATTAAGCTGGTAGGCGGTAAGCCCCAGCGACTTATGTCTGCCCTCTGTGTGGTACCGAAGTCACAGGCACCTTAAGCCTGCCTTGTCTAGGGTACTGGGGATTTGAACTCATGTCCTCATGCTTGAGTGGAGAATGTTCTTCAATGAGCCATCTCTCTAGCCCTACAGCCATTTTTTTAATTTTTAATTTTCTATTTTTTACTTTTATTTCTTTCCTTTCCTTTCCTTTCCTTTCCTTTCCTTTCCTTTCCTTTCCTTTCCTTTCCTTTCCTTTCCTTTCCTTTCCTTTTCTTTTCTTTTCTTTTCTTTTGGTTTTTTGAGACAGGGTTTCTCTGTGTAGCCCTGGCTGTCCTGGAACTCACTCTGTAGACCAGGCTGGCCTCGAACTCAGAAGTCCTCCTGCCTCTGCTTCCCAAGTGCTGGGATTAAAGGCATGTGCCACCACTGCCCAGCTACAGCCATATTTTTAAGAGAGAAGAAAGTAAGACTTTAGAAGACAGCACATGCTACATGTGTGCTTGCACAGCAGGGTTTACGGGATCTCCACATATGTGGCACATGCAGCAATGGAGTCAGGAAGCACATGCAGGTACAGGCTCTGCAGAGGAGAGCTCTGTAGCTGGGGCTAGCGGACAGGAGACTTTCTCATCTTCACTGTTTATGTGCTTGGAGAACTTTGTACTTAGTCTCTGTGTTCTGAAAGAACTTTTAATAAAGCATTACTTTTTTTTTTTCTTCCAGTAAATGTGCTCTGGAGTTCAAGGCCCTTTGTAGTGACTGGGTAGACTGGGATTGAGAGTGAAGTGTTTGCCTTGCAAGCCTGAGGAGCAGAGTTCAGGTCCCCAAGACTCACATAGAAAGCTAGGTGTGGTGGCAAACATGTAATCAGCATTGTAGAGGCAGAGACAGGCAGATCCCCAGAGCTCATGGCTGGCGAGTTTAGCTAATCAGTGAGTTCTAAGTTCAGTGACAGCTCCTGTTGCAAAAAATAAGGTGGAGTAGAAACTGAGGAAGTCACCTAGCATTGACTCCTGACCTGCATTATACACGTACCCACACACTCACATACACACACATACATGGAGCTAGAATAGTCCACTAAACAGCTGAATTCTGATTGGCAGGTGGCACTGTGTGCTGTTCAGATGAAGACAAAAACTCCAAGCTGTTTCCCTTGATGTCCAGCTAGATTTGTAAACATCACTAGAGAACAAACATCCACCGACACTCCAAATCACATGACAGTTAATAAGACACAGGCTGAAATCATTGTCAGCTTGGGCAGGGTTTTTAGACATGTGCCCTTGGGGCCACTTAAGGCCAATTTGCGTCTCTCAGAAGTCACATTGTCATGAGCATGTCTCCAATTCCACCTCTGATGAGCCACATACCCTGGGCCTGCATGTTTGCAAATCTTCCCAGGTTCTTGTGATGATGACACCACATGGTGACAGCAGACATAGAACACTTAGCACTGAGGGTCCAGACGGATGTCACACCCCTACTACCAGGGAAAGAGGAAGTTGTGCTCCTTTTCCTTTCTGTAGCTGCGAGGTAACTGAAGCTTGGAGATGCTTTTAGTTTAGGCAGAGGGAACCTGAATTGTAATTCTGGTTTGACTCCAAAGCCTGTCTGTAGCGGGTAGTGCACAATATTGGCACTTAGTAGGTCTGTACTCTGTGTCTACTCTGTTCTCCCTTCGCCACAGTAAAATTTATCATGACCTAGATTATTGATGAGACTCATGTAATAGCTGTGTGTGTGTTCTGTGCATGTTCATGGGTGTGTACACATGTACATGCTGGGTGCCTATATATATGCACACATATGGAAGCCAAAAGTTGATG